ACAATTCGTTCTTAACCATGTGCGAAATACACATATTGTCGGAAAGCGCAAGTTAAATCCCCAATTACTGACTTTCTTCTTAAATATATCACAACTCGCCATTTATAATTGTATCAGTTTGTAGATTCTTTTATATTTTAATGATGTAAATCACGTAAAATACGTCACTCAACTAGTTCATGTACTAGATGAAACCATTCGATGATAAACTGTCAGCAGTTTCAAAACCATGACTGAAAAAGTTATCAGTCCTGACATATTTTACACAACATGGAGGGAAGAGAAAGGCAAGGAAAGGATGGATAACAGGGAGGAGTTTGCCAGGATGTACACATCGGCCCATAGGAACTGGGGCAACAGCACCTTCATGAACGTCCTCTCAGACTCCTGCTCACAAGAGGAGAAGAAGTTAGTTGATGAACCCCTGAAGAATTTAAGGATGATTTGCGATTCATATATCTTGTGATCAGAAATGAATAGTCAACTTACAAGCCTCAAGAAGAGCAGGACTTTGAAACATGTCCACATACATGCATGGTAACTGATACTATGTTATCGATTTTAATTATCTTCATTTCCCACAATACTCCAAATTTCAGGAAACACAAAAAGTTTCATTTTCTCATACTAACACCATTTCAAATCCAAAGATGATGACGCAGCCATGGTCACAAGAAAGGATCAAGGCCAAATAATACCATTGATTTGGAAGAGTCATTGCCTCTTCTTCGGGAACCATTGGGACTCCACAAAGTAAGAACAAGACTATACTCTGTGTCGTTTTGAAGTCATTTGTTTATTTAATACGAATTACGTAACATTCATGTTACTTTGATGTTATAAAGTTGTTACAGACCCATGGACTGACTAGGTTCATTACATGTCATAAAAGTGCCGGGACATTATGTGGTGGCAATACATTCCCTAATTAATACCTGTCACAATGGGGACGGCCCATTTGTGCTTGTGCTCTGGGAATGTGTTACGCAATATATGTATTCACGAAACAACATTCAACAAAGTATTTACTTAGTCCTGTAATGTTGGTGTCCTTTGGCATTAATGAACAAGTAAGTAGATACAACACGGGTGGATTGATGCATTCGTACTTGGTATGAATAGATGAATTACAATTCGTTCTTAACCGTGTGCGAAATACACATAATGTCGGAAAGCGCAAATTAAATCCCCAATTACTGACTTTCTTCTTAAATATATCACACCTCGCCATTTATAATTGTATCAGTTTGTAGATTCTTTTATATTTTAATGATGTAAATCACGTAAAATACGTCACTCAACTAGTTCATGTACTAGATGAAACCATTCGATGATAAACTGTCAGCAGTTTCAAAACCATGACTGAAAAAGTTATCAGTCCTGACATATTTTACACAACATGGAGGGAAGAGAAAGGCAAGGAAAGGATGGATAACAGGGAGGAGTTTGCCAGGATGTACACATCGGCCCATAGGAACTGGGGCAACAGCACCTTCATGAACGTCCTCTCAGACTCCCGCTCACAAGAGGAGAAGAAGTTAGTTGATGAGCCCCGAAGAATTTAAGGATGATTTGCGATTCATATATCTTGTGATCAGAAATGAATAGTCAACTTACAAGCCTCAAGAAGAGCAGGACTTTGAAACATGTCCACATACATGCATGATAACTGATACTATGTTATCGATTTTAATTATCTTCATTTCCCACAATACTCCAAATTTCAGGAAACACAAAAAGTTTCATTTTCTCATACTAACACCATTTCAAATCCAAAGATGATGACGCAGCCATGGTCACAAGAAAGGATCAAGGCCAAATAATACCATTGATTTGGAAGAGTCATTGCCTCTTCTTCGGGAACCATTGGGACTCCACAAAGTAAGAACAAGACTATACTCTGTGTCGTTTTGAAGTCATTTGTTTATTTAATACGAATTACGTAACATTCATGTTACTTTGATGTTATAAAGTTGTTACAGACCCATGGACTGACTAGGTTCATTACATGTCATAAAAGTGCCGGGACATTATGTGGTGGCAATACATTCCCTAATTAATACCTGTCACAAAGGGACGGCCCATTTGTGCTTGTGCTCTGGGAATGTGTTACGCAATATATGTATTCACGAAACAACATTCAACAAAGTATTTACTTAGTCCTGTAATGTTGGTGTCCTTTCGCGTTAATGAACAAGTAAGTAGATACAACACGGATGGATTGATGCATTCGTACTTGGTATGAATAGATGAATTACAATTCGTTCTTAACCGTTTGCGAAATACACATATTGTTGGAAAGCGCAAGTTAAATCCCCAATTACTGACTTTCTTCTTAAATATATCACAACTCGCCATTTATACTTGTATCACTGTGTAGATTCATATACTATACTCATATAGTATACTCTGTGTCGTTTTGAAGTCAATTTTTTATTTAATACGAATTACCCAACCAGTCGTGTGCTAAATTATACAGACCAACGAAGCTTTTCAAAGTAGAAATTAAGCAAACCGAATATTTATCAAATTGATTATTGCTAGAACATATGCATGAACAACAAGTGATATAATCGGAAATATATTTACATGTGATATATGCACCCGGATGCTTAAAATCACAATACAATGCTAATATCCTAAATTTGTGTTCAAGCGAGTGAATACCAAATAGACAAGGACCAAATCAGCTCTACAGACACAGACTCTCTCAAAGGCAACAAGGTGCAGGCTTTGAGGGCCAAAAGAAACGTTACCAACATTAACTGATTTGCCACTTTGAAACAAAGATGCCAACCTGTTCAAAAACAGTAAAGAACACATCTCACGAATACAGCCTTCATGTTCTCTGTCGTTCTTTTGCACGTGCTTTGCGGATTTTGGGAGATATTGGTGTTTGTCAGCAATTTTTTAAAACATTATTTCCAAAATTATCGTGCAATTTCCGGGTATAAATTACGCACGGATCTGTGTCCTATCATTGGTTGCGATGATTAACACCAACGAACATGCCAAGACTGACCGCTGTCCAGAGTGAGAGAGCCATAGGTACATGTATGCTGCAGATGGGAGCGACACAGAGAGCGGTTGCCATTTACACGAACTGCTCCAAGATGACCATTACCAGACTGGTCGCATGTCTCCGACAGACTGGCAGAACCGCAGACAGACCACGGAGTGGCAGACCAAAGGTCACGACCCCGCAGGATGACCGCTTTTTACGGGTATTCATCTGAGGAAGAGATTTCTTACTGTGACGTAATCAGCTGCCAACAGCTTAGGACATCCGGTCAGCAGACAAACAGTGACCAGACGACTACGACATTACGGTCTCCGGGCTTATCGCCAAGGGCATGACCTTGGCCCGTCAACATCGACTTGCCAGATTGACGTGGTGCAGGCAAACTCAGCGATGGCAACAAAGGGAATGGCGGCGAGTGCTGTTTAGTGATGAGAGCAGGTTCCAACTCTTCAAACCTGTTGGGCGGACGCGAGTTTATCGACGACGTGGTGAACGTACGGCTCCTTGTTGTGTCCAGGAGGTGGAACCTTACGGGGGCGGAAGTGTGATGGTCTGGGGCGGCATTTGCGGGGACGAGAAGACGGAACTTGTCATCATCGAAGACAATCTGACAGCACAACGCTACATTGACAATATCTTATGGCCAGTGGTTCTTCAATTCATCCAACAAGATAACGCCACACCCCAGAGAGCCCGTATTACTAGAGACTTCCTCAACGCCAACAACGTGACTTTCCTGCCGTGGCCAGCTCGATCACCAGATCTGTCACCCATAGAACATCTCTGGGACCAGCTGGGGCGTTGTCTTCGGAAACATCAACATCCCCCCTTCACGAGACAAGCGTTGATCGTTGCCCTCCGTGAGTAATGGAATCGGATACCAGACTTTGGGTCACATCTGGTTTGAACAGAATATATTTACTCCAGTTCTGGTTCCCATTTTTCAATTTCATTCTCCCAATGACAACATCACGTACTGACCTAACACACTCTAAAAGACAGGTTCCTCTGCTCTCGGCAATAATGTGTTGGCAGATTCTTTGACAGTATCCATAATTATTTTAAAGTTGTAATCACAACGGACAGGAGGCTCCTTATGATATGTTGATTCACATTTGAATAACTGACGAAGGTTGTCAATATTAGAGAAGTCACCAGTTAGTATGCATGACCAACGTGTTGGAAGCAGTATGATCAGTCTTGGCAGCCACAAGTAGTGGAATTACATCACAAGGTGCCAAATCCATATCCTGTTCCTAAAGTGAAACAACTTAGGTGAAATGGTGTTCGTGTTGTGTTCGAAATTGAAACGTGCTTCTTGAAATTTCAAGTATTGTAGGACATAAAAGAATTAAAATCGATAACATAGTATTAGTTATTATGTATGTATGCATGGATGGATGGATGGATGGATGGATGGATGGATGGATGGATGGATGGATGGATGCATGCATGCATGCATGCATGCATGTATGTATGTATGTGTGTATGTGGCCATGATACAAAGTCTTGCTTTTCTTGAGGATTGTAAGCTGACTTTTCTTTTCTGATCACAAGATATGTGAATCGCAAATCATCCTTGAATTCTTCGGGACTCATTTCTGAAATTCGTTTTTCAACACTGTCATACAACTCATCCACTATCTTCTTCTTCTCCTCCTGTGAGCGGGAGTCTGAGAGGCCGTTCATAAAGGTGCTATTGCCCCAGTTCCTATGGGCCGATGTGTACATCCGAGCAAACTCCTCCCTGTCATCAATCCCTTCCTTGTCTTTCTTTTCCCTCCATGTTGTGTAAAATATGTCAGGGTTTGAAAACCGTTTCAGCTGACAAGAGACAGAGTCCGGATTTGGAAACTGCTGACATTTTGTCATCGAATGGTTTTCTCATCTTAGCCATGCTGTGAAGGCAAACTGAAAAATTTGTATTCAAAAATTCTTCTTTAGAGATTTTCCCAGATTCTCTATATTCCTTCCATACCTTAGTGAGTAACGTTACGAACGTCTCAAGAAGATACTTGATTTTTCCACTGCTCTTGTCTATAGTCTCACATCCTACACCAAGAACAAGCAGGCCTCCCTTTTCCAATTTTCGACTTCTCAAAAGTAAGAAGGTCTCGAAGTCGATCTCAGACTGTTTTTTCTAAAGCCATCTTCTCCTCAGCACTACTCTCAGGGTATTTGTAAATTGAGTCATTAAAGTTTGTTGGAGTCTTCGACAGCCAGTGAGCAGCGACCATATTCATGATGAAATGCATTGAATTTGAAGGTACACATTGTCTGTAGAAGTTTGTCCCAGCAGCGAGAACATAGACGTTGTCCATTTCCAGAAGGTATGAAGGAGGTTCAGGAAATCATTCACTTCCGAGTCTTCATAGATGACCTGGAATTGTGCCTCTGGACCGTGCTGATCTTTCAGAGTTGCCAACATCTGCCCAATGATGACCATGGAAGCAGAGCCATCAGCTGCGCCATAGTCGCCTATGTTGAACACTGAGTCTTTGGCAGTGAATGGAATAGATCGGACCCAGTTAAGGGTCTTGTCTCGTACTGGTTCCATGTAGCCAACATTCTGCTTTCCGAGTCTTGATCCATGATGTCCTTCTCCTGTTTTTTTCCATATGGCACATATGCTCTTGAACGACCTGCATAGTATCTCACAGATACAGCTGCATCTATTTTGTGAAAATGTAAATGTGTTCGTATCGCTGAAGAGAATATACGGACGTACATCCTTGAGATGCAGGTCTTGGATCAGCCTTCTTTTGTTACATCTGTAAAAATGCTGAAAGTATAAAATAGCACAACTAATTTCATGCGTAGAACAGTTCTATGTAAATTATAAAATTAGAAGTTCGGATTTAATGTAAATGCACTATCATGCGTTCTCTTTATGTGAGATTAGGTACAAAAGATTCAAATGCACATCTTTTGTCAGAACTTCGAACCTGTACAAGAAAATATAAAGGTGTTTCACTAATGCAACTCAATCATTCCTGTCATTGACTGAGGGCTTACTTGGACACATATAGCGCACAATTAGCCTGTATTTATGTTACCAAACAAAGACATACAGTCCTACATGAGTATGAATTTGAGGATGATTATTGATAAGAAGTATTATGCATATCGCCACACGACTGTCCCTTCTTAGATGAGGAATAAGCAATTACTTGTGCTGAAGATGACTGGTTAGTCTTAGTGATCTTGTTGAGGATGATTGTAGATATTGAATAATGATATACACAGTTAAAACACGTCCCATTTTGATTCTGGAAACCCAAAAGTCCAGAAACTCTACGGTCTTTGCCGACTCTCGGTCAAAGGTATTTACAAAATTAAACATGCTGTTTTCATGGGAACATACCAAGGAAGGAAAAATGAAAAAAAATTGTTCAAAAAATCAATATTTACACTATCTCGCCCATGGGCCTGCCCATGGGCGAAGTGTGGCCCATGGGCGAAGACTGGCCCATGGGTACGCCCATGGGCGAGAATATGTTCCTTCACTCAAAACTCATGTTTTTGTTTCGCAAACACATTAAATGTATTCTCCAAGTATCATGACACAAAATTTAACTAATTTTAACTTAATTCAACTATTTTATAGCGATATTGAAATATTTCGCCCATGGGCGAGAAAAAGGTTTGCCCCAGTCGAGAATATGTTCCTTTACTTAAAACTCATGTTTTTCTTTTGCAAACACATTAAATGTATTCATTCAAGTATCATGACACAAAATTTAACTCATTTTAACTTTATTCAACTATTTTATAGCGATATTGAAATATTTCGCCCATGGGCGAGAAAAAGGTTTGGCCCATGGGGGAGAATATTTTCCTTTACTCAAAACTTATGTTTTTGTTTCGCAAATACATGCAGGTGTTCTTACCATTTTCATGGCACATAATGTAACTCAATTTTACTTAATTCAACTATTTTATAGCGTTATTGAAATATTTCACCCATGGGCGAGAAAAGGTTTGGCCCATGGGCAGGCCCATGGGCGAGAATATTTCCCTTTGCTCAAAACTTGTTTTAGGGTCGCATATACATAAAGGTGTTCTTAGAAGTTTCATGTCACATAATGTAACAAATTTTAACTTAATTGAACTATTTTACGGCATTATTGAAATATTTCGCCCTGGACGAGAAAGTTTGGCCCATGGGCGAGAATATTTTCCTTTGCTCAACAGTTTTAGTTTCGCAAACACATAAAGGTGTGTCTACATGCATGACACATGATTCAACTATTTTACGGCGTTATTAAAATATTTCGCCCATGTTTTCGTCATATTACTTTGCGGAGACATTGAGTATAATTTTTGAGTTGGCACTGTATGCTGTCTGAATGACATTACACAAATCCCTGCGTCAATGGACCCGTGAAGATCTTCAACAACCCATTCTTGGCGTAAAAGGGCGACAGCGCTTGTCGTAAGAGCCGACTACCGGGATCGGGTGGTCAGGCTCGCTGGCTTGGTTGATGTATGTCACCGTATCCCAATTGCATGGATCGATGCACATGATTTCAATCACTGGATTGTCTGGTCCAGACTCGATTATTTACAGAAAGCCGTCATACAGCTGAAATATTGCTCAGTGCGGCGTTATACAATTAACAAACAAACAAAACTTGGAGGAATTCACAACAATCACTATGACGAGGTATGCATATCTTGCAATCAACCTGAATCAAGTTACTGGAATGTCAAACCCGGGCTTGGTTAAAACAAGAATTGCAGTGAGATCCGCTATATGCTGTAGATCTCCTGTAGTCAAGAGATGCAATAGCGAGGCAGAACTATGTCAATTTATGAGGGACAGACAGCTACTCGAACATATATAAACAGAGCAGCCAAAGATAAAACCGAAATCATATCATGTACGAAAAAAGAAATCATATCAACACAAAAAGAGAAAGTGTATGAGTACTAAAGCTTGCAATAGATATGCGTACCCTACGTACACACATGAGTCCCATTCGACAGTTTACAACACACTGACATCGCATCAAATATATTTGTGTACGGATTACATAACTCTTACTGACAGGGTGGGGCGGTAGTTCACGCGAAACGGACGACACTGTGTAAATTGAGCGGCTCCTTTGATATCGCCTCACAACATACGTTTAATGAATGACCCATTAAACGATGATACACATCAGGATCGCGGAGAAAATACAAGATTCGTTCTCGTTAAATATATATATCAAGGCGAGAAAAAGGTTTGCCCCAGTCGAGAATATGTTCCTTTACTTAAAACTCATGTTTTTGTTTCGCAAACACATTAAATGTATTCATTCAAGTATAATGACACAAAATTTAACTCATTTTAACTTAATTCAACTATTTTATAGCGATATTGAAATATTTCGCCCACTCTACATGATTGTATACTGGCTTTCTGACGTTTTGTTCAATAATGGTCAAATAGATCATTCCCTTTCACTGTTTTACCCATCTGAACTGGAAATGAAAGAGATCCGTGTAGCAGTGACGGTTTCACGTTCTATTTCATTTTACATAAACAGTCAATAAAAAGTCAATAGTTTTCTTGAACCTCGGCGTTCTAGCTGTCACATCTGCATCATATTTATCATTGTAAGGAGTGACGAAAACTCCCCTCCCCACAAAGCTGTACGAGAAGATGGATGACTTTATCTTTCCAAAAGTAAATTTTCCCTTTATTTCGACTGCTGTTCAAGAACCTCAAGAATCTCCAGCCTTTAATATTGAGGTAAAGCGTGCTCTTGTACGAAGATTTTAAAGAGCGCCATACAACTCTTGCTCAAAAGTCGTTTGACCATGACAACATTCAATGCCTTAGTAAGGCTTCCACAAAGTTCTATGGTAAACATAAGGAGGACATTTCCAAATTTGAAGCAACCCGGATAAAAATGATGTCCGATCCAATTCCCTATTTTGCTTATATGCTTCTGTGTTGTCCCATTTTTGGCAGACACCTGGCATCATCACTGTTATGGGCAAGAGTTCTCATATATCGCGCGTAAAATTGTCCTGTTTTCGTTCATTGTTTATCTTCAGTTATAGGCACTATTCCAAGTTAATTTGTGTATAACATTTGTGTTTACGTGAGTAACAATTTAATTGACGTAGGGATTATGTTTATTTGCCGTAAATTACCGTAAGTTTGTATTTCGATGACGGACTGCACAGAGCGACATGCCAGGCTACCTGGCCGCGCCATTTTGGGATCATGACGTCTTCGATATTTGTGTTCCCTCGGTTACATTACAATTATTGCATAAAGTGCCGTATTTTAATTTCCTTTACTTCAGTCAGTTTCTTAATTTATCATATTAGTCGTATGCTTTGTGTTATAAAATAATATCTAAGTTATTCTTTCAGTGACCAGCTGTGACGTGACGGTTTGTTTACCGTTAGAGCCGATCAGCTGGTTGTGACGTCATTTGCTGTTTTTTGTGATTGAAATGTAGGTAGGCAATTTTCGTACAATTTTATTTTATTATTGGCTAAGTCAACCACGGCACCAGCTTTGCGCATTATATCTATGCCCAAGATACCATCCATCTCATAACTATTCTCAATTTCTTCCACTATAAATTCCTCCCTAACTGGGTTTGTCTTTTCAGATAACCTGACTGGAGCTTGAAAAATGCCATTAACCGGAAAGGGCGTTCCATTCACTGCGCGCAAGTTCAGATCAACGGGACTGAGGGAAATGCCTCTCGATAGTCGCCGGAAAGAAGAAGGTGAGATAAGTGATATTTCACTTCCTGTGTCAATTAACAGGGTAAAATAATTCCCGTTAATATCAATATTGATCAGATGACCTTCATCACCCATCTGAAAACAAGGCCTAATATTGACCTGGTGGCTTGGCGTTTCCCGAATGGGAGCCAGATCTATTCTGAGGGCATTCGGCTGCCCAGTGGCCCGGGTGTCCGCAACTATAACACACACAGTTGGATCGTGTGCGACTTGCTGAACGAGATCGTCCAACACTGGGACTTCTTGATAGCGAGCTTTCGGTCTGCCGCAAATGAGGGCGACCTCTGTTGTATTGTTCAGCGCCTTGATTCAATTTCAGCTGAGCCAGTTGGCTGACTGTTTTCTGCAATTCTTGTATTTGAGTTGTCAGAGTATCCAACTTTGTTCCCAAATGCTCATTATTTTTACTTTCATTTTCAGAACTAAATCTGACACGACGCTCAGCAGATTGGTAAGGAGTGACAGCCCGAACAGAGTGATGTGACCCCGAAGTGCCAACAACAGACTCGTACAACTGTGCTGTTTCAACTGCCTGTCGTAGAGTAGAAACTCCACGGTCGACAAGTCGCAGACGAAGTTCCTTACTCACTGCTCGCTTAAAAGCATCAAGAGCCATGCGTTCTTGCAACTCATAAGGAAGATCTGGATATGCCTCACAAGACAAACGCCAAAGATCATCACTTAGATCCTCAATTTTTTCATTTGATTTTCGGACGCGATTGAGTAACTGTTCCTTGCGCACATCAGGCAGCACAGAACAATACTGCTGTCTCAAAGCTCTACACAAACACTGGTAATTCTGACGCTCATGTTCAGGTAAACGAGCATAGAACTCCTGGGCTATACCCTCCATGGCACATCCCATCATCTGGGCTGATTGAAAATCATCCCATTTGGACTGAGTGGCTAAAAGTTTAAATTGCGCTTCAAAAGCTGCAAAATCATTTTTCGATTGAACTTTGGTAAGTGCAACGAAACCCGCGCTACACCAGCAGCAGAGTTTGTGTTTGAATTGACTGGCATTGCGTTTACACGGTCCGCCAAGCTCAAAACAGATTTAGACAATTGGGTTAAAATAGTCGCCATGAATGGTTCTGTATTTGGAGTAGTCATGTACCGATTAGACCAGCCATGCTGAATTCCTGGATGATCATAGGACTGCCTATTAGGTTCACCAATATATCCTTCACTATAGGATCTAGAGGGACCAGGCAAACCACCAACGTCATCACTTTGAAAAGCCTGACTAGTAGGAATCTCCTGAGGTTCGACATTCTCAGGAGCGTTTGCTACAACTGAGCGTGACCTAAGATTGTAATTTTTATCCATGGCAGAACAAAGTAATGTATTAAGTATGATTGGCCAAGATTTGTTGATAGTTGAAGAATAAAAAATATGTTATTTATCAATATTTATTCAAAAATATGAATTGCCCAAGACTGTTATTCATTAATTAATCCCACTTGTGACACCAAAAACTGGGACGGATCTGGCGGGTTCGCTTATTTATACATGATGTCACAGTTAGCCTTTTCCAAATAACCACAGAACAAGATATCTTTGTTCAACAATACAACTGTTATTTATTTACATGAATTAACCACTCAAACTATATTAATAAAGATTTATATATATATATCCTATTCTACTTAATACATACACAATGTATTATCTCCAACAGCGCCAAATATGAATTGGTGGCAGCGTGTTAATACATACTTACAATCTCATGCGACCGACTCCGTTCAGTCCTCCTCTCAATCTCACTCATCTAACCGTAAAAAAACAGCAAATGACGTCACAACCAGCTGATCGGCTCTAACGGTAAACAAAACGTGACGTCACAGCTGGTCACTGAACGAATAACTTAGATATCATTTTATAACACAAAGCATACGACTAATACAATAAATTAAGAAACTGACTGAAGTAAAGGAAATTAAAATACGGCACTTTATGCAATAATTGTAATGTAACCGAGGGAACACAAATATCGATGACGTCATGATCCCAAAATGGCGCGGCCAGGTAGCCTGGCATGTCGCTCTGTGCAGTCCGTCATCGAAATACAAACTTAAGGTAATTTACGGTAAATAAACATAATCCCTACGTCAATTAAATTGTTACTCACGTAAACACAAATGTTATACACAAATTAACTTGGAATAGTGCCTATAACTGAAGATAAACAATGAACGAAAACAGGACAATGTTACGCGCGAGATATGAGAACTCTTGCACATAACAATTGTGGTTGGACGGAGGCGTATGCAGTGCCAAACATTGAGGCAAAAACAATAGCCGCCAAGATTTTTGAGGAATGGGTGTGCCGATTTGTTGCTCCAGCTTTGCTGCACAGTGATCAAGGGAGACAATATGAAGCTCGTCTTTTCCAAGAGATGTGCAAATTGCTGGGTGTGGTAAAAACGAGAACCACAGCTCTAAGACCTCAAGCCAATGGTCAGGTCGAGCGGTTCAACCGCACACTGAGCGCCATGCTAAGCATTTATGCAGATGGGAAACCCAGAACATGGGATCAACACCTTCCGTTTGTAATGGCTGCTTATAGGTCATCAAAACATGAGTCTACTCATTCCGGTCCGAATGAGCTAGTACTTGGTAGGGAGGTACTATTTCCCATTCATGCGTTAACAGGGAACCCTAACTCTACCAACATGGGGGTTGATGAGTATGTTTCTGACTTGCAGGAAAAGTTTGATCATGCTTTTACAACCGCTCGAGATATGACCTTCATTTAAAACAATCAAACCTGCGAGTTGGTCAACCTGTTTGGTTATACAACCCAAACAAGACTTGTCAAAAAGGAAGAAATTTGTCACTTGTTGGAAAAAAGGTTTGGTCATTACAAAGAAAATTGATGACATTACCTTTAGGTTCCAAGAGTGTCCAGACAATACACCTAGGGTGGTACATGTTGATAGACTAATGCCATGCCAGGGGAACGATCCGCCAACTTGGTGGATCTGTTAAGAATTATAATGAAAGAGTTATGACAAAATCAATTACAGATTATTTCTGATAGACATAATTACATAAAATAAACTTGAAAATTCAAAAATGGTCGCACTAAAGATGCTGACCTTATTTGCCTTGCCTGTTCTTTTAATCTCTTTAGAGATTTATGAAAGATTTGAGCTTGTTTACTACATCAATAGTAGAGATGCATGTTGGATGCATGGTACATATAAGTATGCAGATGATGGAAAAGTTAATTAGTCAAGATAGTACCATCAACGTGTTAGTGGGAGATTTAAAATTTGTGCTTGTCGGAAGCTTTCCCCACTAAACTTTTGTGTAGCTATTTTGAGTAGATAATTACTAGATATTTTTGGAGTTGGACCAAACCTAGGAATTATGATAACTTATAGTTTTTAAATATTTTTATTGATGTTGGATTGTGTCAATATGATACAATAGATTTATCCCTATTATTCTAACAGGAATATGGAAGACCTTGAGGTCAAGGTAGACGACAGGGAGTTCGGGGAGTTAGATGGAGACATTGAGGGGGGGGGGGGGGGGGGGGGGCAGGGACAAATTTCATTAAATTTTTGTCCAGGCATGACCTGTCCTGTGTGCAGGATGGGAAACAACAAGGAGAAAAACCACCTCGATTCTCACCGGGCGCAGGTGAATCTGATATTTCAGAAGCACTTTGCCTGCCCTCAGAGTGGTTGCCGAACAATTAAATCAACAAAAAGGGCCCTAAAATTCCATGCCGCAAATGTGCATATGAAGACAAGAATAATAAATGCGGAAGTTGAAAAGTTTTGTTCGGGGGCCGAGATAACAATGGAGACAAATGAGAACTGTATTGACCCTGGGACCTTTGCCCTGTCCTGGCAAAAGTGGAGGCCACGAGGGGGTAGAGGTGGGACCAAGCAAGTGGCCAAGCCGGAACAGAAAACCAACAGACCTATCAGCACTGTCACCAAAGCGCCTGTTCCAGGGACTCCAAGTTCAGCATCTCTGGAAGCGAGCCTCCGAGGTCGCATTGCTGCTCTTGAAGAGCACAATGTGGCCCTGGAGAGTGCTCCAGCAGAGGCAAGGGCGGCTACTATGGAAGTCAGCATTAGATGGCCCAAGTTCGAGGACATACCAGACAGGAGGATAGACGAGTTTGTGAGAGACGGTTGGGAGAGTATGAGGGTGTTGCAGGCGGCAGAGGCGAAGAGATTGAGAGGAGAGAGAGAGCAGACACGGGCAGCAGACAATGAAATCAGGAAATTGAAATGTTCTAAGTGGTGATTGTAAAATTGATTGTATGTGATATTGTTGTGATTTACGTGATTCTTTAGTATTCTTTGTATAATAAGTGTAAGTATAAAATCAACCGTTCTCTTATATGTGTCTCATTATCGCCGTTACAATATATCTTATTCTGATAACATCAGATTATTCATGTGTGCTAGAGTCATCATCGGGTGAAACTGATAATTTCAATCTCCAGCATGTTCAGTGTTTATGACAGATATTTTGTACTTGTTTCAGATAATTCTCCTTGTAAATGATATGCCCTGATAGTATATTAGTATAAACTCGCGGACGAGTTAAGATTTAAAAAAGAAGGGGTATTGTTATGTGCAAGAGTTCTCATATATCGCGCGTAACATTGTCCTGTTTTCGTTCATCTCCAGTTATAGGCACTATTCCAAGTTAATTTGTGTATAACATTTGTGTTTACGTGAGTAACAATTTAATTGACGTAGGGATTATGTTTATTTGCCGTAAATTACCGTAAGTTTGTATTTCGATGACGGACTGCACAGAGCGACATGCCAGGCTACCTGGCCGCGCCATTTTGGGATCATGACGTCATCGATATTTGTGTTCCCTCGGTTACATTACAATTATTGCATAAAGTGCCGTATTTTAATTTCCTTTACTTCAGTCAGTTTCTTAATTTATTATATTAGTCGTATGCTTTGTGTTATAAAATAATATCTCAGTTATTCGTTCAGTGACCAGCTGTGACGTCACGTTTTGTTTACCGTTAGAGCCGATCAGCTGGTTGTGACGTCCTTTGCTGTTTTTTTACGGTTAGATGAGTGAGACTGAGAGGAGGACTGAACGGAGTCGGTCGCATGAGATTGTAAGTATGTATTAACACGCTGCCACCAATTCATATTTGGCACTGTTGGAGATAATACATTGTGTACATGTATGTATTAAGTAGAATAGGATATATATATAAATCTTTATTAATATAGTTTGAGTGGTTAATTCATGTAAATAAATTACAGTTGTATTGTTGAACAAAGATATCTTGTTCTGTGGTTATTTGGAAAAGGCTAACTGTGGCATCATGTATAAATAAGCGAACCCCCCAGATCCGTCACAATCACTATTTAACAACAATTCATGAACACATGTTTATGGTATAGACGGAATCGGACAATTGACTTACACTTACACTGATTTTGGAAAATATGTTTAGCCTATATTTATCATTAACATGTTTTCTCCAACTACAATAAAGATTCATAAACTGATATTCGAAAATGAAATTAGCAAATCAGCCAATTTGGAGAAACAAATTTGAAATGAAATTATTTGACAAGTTAAACCTTGAAATGTATAACCGCGACACAACACAGCTATAATGTCTGAAATGTTCCTAGTAGTACCTTTTCTAAACACTTCATGTGAAGTCTGAACATATAATTGTGCTATATAACATGTAACTGAATTAAAACATGTATATAGGCAACCGTTCATTATAGTGATATGTCACATGAAAAAAAAAAAGATCGCACCAGAACAGCTGCAAATGAAGCATAAAGCAGGCAACACATCTTCATATGACACACTCAAATAAAAAATGGAACACAATGAGGCCACATCAAAGATACAAGACGTCGTGTTCGTGAATATGTTCGCTCGCAAATGAGCTTGATATAATAGTAGTGGTGACAATTCATCATTAGTCTATCTATATGCATGAACACACATTCGTATATACTTACATTCAAAGGCGTTATCTCTATAAGTGTAGCTCCTCCAAATGCACACAACCAGACTGCACAAACAAGCAGTCTGACCTGCTTAACAGTCTTTCAAACAACCTTCAAACGTGCGTCGTATCAATATCAAAATATTCAAAGGACCGGGACGAACAGAAAGCAGTACGAAGCTCGTCCTTTCGTAAGAGTGGCAATTCAACAATGGTGCAGGAATAGCGAGAAAACGTCTGATTACACGTACAACATGCCCGCCATCAGGGTCAGATAACACACAGTCAACAAGGTCAACAATTGTAAAGCCTGTTCTATTTCGACAAGCACGCGATAGTATCATATCACTGAAAAGCCTGTGCACCAGTTAGATTTCATATGTAATCTTTCGTGCACTGTGTGAATTTTTTGTAAATACGTATTTTCTCTATTTCTACACGTTTGACGCTAACATTGAATGTCTGCGTACTGGCTTTCTGAGAATAATTCTAAAATTTAACGCTTGAAACGTATACTGGTGGAAAAAAGTAACTGTGCTTTATATAAGTTAGTGTAGATGTTATGTTCTGGAAGTAGCAACACAATATTTGGCGTGTCATATTTGGCAATGTGACGTTACGTCCCTGCATTAGAACAAAGGGCAGAACATGATCTTGCGTTGAGTTGTGATCCCATCCCATACTGTTACACTTCCACCACAAAACTGACGAAGATGAGTAAGTCAAGCTTCTCGAAAAGTTCTCCTGGACGAGAGCAAACCCTTCTCCTGGACTCAAAATTAGGCGCATTACTGGACGTCGTGGTCGGAAGTTGCGTACGGCTCTGACACAAATTGGTCTTAACCCAGGACTTGCCCGAGATGTTAGTTAACGTTCCAGTTTGGTATCGATTCCGTAGATGCACCAACCGAATATGGCATTCATGTCGTGGAGATGTCTTCATGAATATGTATTAAAAGATGAATTATTTAATTTCAGAATAACTATATTTATCATATAATGGGTAGGTTTCTCGGCAGGATAAATCTAGCGGATAAAAACGATATCCGTTGGGGTCATATGCGGATAAAGATGCAAATATCAAAGGTTAAGTAGGGACTACTTTCACGGTTTACAAACAAACATGGCGTCGCTCTTGGCAATCGGCGATCGAGTCAGAATTGATAATCGCGGATGTGGAGTCGTTACTGGAATTATAGATCGAAGTTCAATTGAGAAGTCCTTCTTTGTTTTGATCGATGGGACTGATTACGAAGGACGACTTGATCGACATCGTTTAAGTAAGATTCCATGTCCAGTCACACCTCCGATAATGCCGGTATCCGAGCAGACGAATACAAGGTTTCGTTTAGTTGTAGATGAGGATATCGATGAAATCATTGAGACAAACGAAAACAAAAACACCGCAAAAAAGACTTTGTACACAATGAACCTTGTGGGCGAATTTCTTTCCTCTCAAAATGAACATAGGCCTATTGACACCATCCCCCCATGTGAACTTTCACCTTACATATGCAAATTTCTCGTTGGCATAACGAAGAAAGACGGCTCTGACCCCGAACCTTTAACCCTTCGGACATACATTTCAAGCATTGACAGATATTTGAAGCGAAAAGAATATGGAAGTACACTTTCCCACTCCCCAGAGTTTGGCAAAGTACGGGAAGTTCTGAAATGTCGACAAATAGCTCTCAAAAAGAAAGGGAAAGGCAACTTACCCAACAGATCAGATCCGTTATCCGACGAAGAAGTGAATAAACTTTGGGAAACGGGTCAGTTTGGCGCACACTCTCCCCATGCAATCATAAACACATTGTGGTTTCACAACACAGTCCACTTTGGCCTCAGGGGTGGGGACGAGCATCGATCCATGTGTTGGGGAGATGTGTTGTTGAAACGTGATTCAAACGGGTTGGAGTTTCTCACTTTCAATGAAAAACAAACCAAGACACGTCCAGGTACAAATCCAAAGGATATCCGGGATGTTACTCCCAAAATGTGGGAAAATCT